GGAATATCAAGGATGAGTCCCCAACCCTCTCTCTCTCTCTCTCTCTCTCAATAGTGTAAGCTTTAGAACCAGAGTGAGATACATTACCAGCTAAAAAAACTTACCTCAAAAGAATTGGATAGTTTTTCGAGCAATACATGATAACTGGTCAACAATTACAAATTACGAATTGGAGGGTGATATTGTTTTCTCAGCAAGATAATGCTCGAGCATGTCATCCTCATCCACTGCAAACACAAAAACTGGTTTTTAATTTTAGTTAGAAGAAAAATATATAGGATGATTAGTATTATATTCATGATAATGATGATTACCCAAAACACACAAAGAAGACTATTATTAGGCTAAAGGGTCAAATAGGCCCTTGAACTAACTTAAAGTGTTCAATTAGCCCCTTATATAGAAGGTTCAGCCCGTCCATCGCCAATTGGAGAGGTTCCCGGTGGATTTTTTGATGAAATTTTTTGAGCATCTTCTTCATTAAGTCTAGTTTACCCATATCAAATTTCATTAAAAAATTAAACCGGGAAGGCAGTCAAATGATTTTCCGAAATGTACTGCGCTGTTTAAGTACGCAGTTATCTTCAAAAAATCATTTGATTGCCCTCCCGGTTGAATTTTTAGCTGAAATTTGGTATGAGTAAACTAGACTGAATGAAGAAGATGCTCAAAAAATTTCATCAAAAAATTCGACCAGGAACCACTTCAATTGACGACGACCGGGCAGAACCTCCTACACAAGGGGCTAATTGAACACTTTAAGTTAGTTCAAGAGCCTATTTGACCCTTTAGCCCTATTATTATTACTACTCCATAGTAGTCTTACCGCTGACCATTACCGTTGACAATTGACATTACTACCCATACGCTACCACTGCTATCATTATTCATTATTATAATAATATAACTTTTACTTTTTTTATATTTAATTTGGCTTGATCATCGAGATAATTATTACTCGTATATTATTATATAATTAGTGTTGTTGCTAATGTTATATTATTATTATTCTTATTGTTATTATTATTATTAACTCCGAAGTGAGTAGGTGAAGCTGGAAGTGACCTTCAAAGTCTTCATCATCAAAATCAATATCCTCTTCGCCTTCATCAGACTCTTCAGCAGTGACAACCGTTGCGCCCTTCTGTACAGAACAAACAACAAAATAGATTTAGGTAAAAAAAGAAAAGCATAGAGGTTTTCCCTGGTGTATTATTTTCATTATGACTTTGAAAGGGAACACATATAAGGTCCCTTGGTATATAGTATATAGGGTCACATTGGAACCCTGAAGATGCTAGGGAAAGGATAAAAAGGAAACTAGAGCTAATGTTTGAATTTTGAAAGGAAATAAAATGTAGGGGAAAATATAAAAAAGGTTCACTCATATAAATTTAGATATTTGCCCGAACTTATGATTCATTTAAATACTTATAGTATAAGAAATATGAATATTTTGTGAATTTTTGAAATTTTTTAATTAAATTTGAATTTCTTTCATATTTTCAATGTAAAATAGAACGTAAAAAATAAAAATAAAAAACTATTTTCCTAAGCATTTTATCCTTTCCCATACAATCTTCTGCGTTACAAATATAGCCATTACGAATTTATTTATCTCCATAAGAAAAGAGTCAGTCGGTCAATGAGATTTGGATCAAATAGCATTGGAAAATAGTGCTCAAGATCCAATGAATCTTGATGAAATAAATGCATAGGCCCAACTCCTGCGGGCCAGGACTAATATAGTATGCTAGACGCGTGCATTGGAAGGAAGATAGTAAAAAAGTACTGAAAGATATACCGCAGATGCTCTTTGGGTGCTGAAAGTGCTGAATCTGGCATTAAGCTGTATATTTTTTTTATTTATCATGACTTCCACAATCGTCACTCACACACACAAGCAAACGTGAATGCAAGCAACTTTTACATCCATGCATATGAACAAAAGGGTTAGCTTTATATGTTCTTCGCTTCAGTATTATAGTCTTCTTACAAATTACAATATAATGCATGCTACTTTCATGATGGCCATCTTGATAGGAACAAATTAGAAGCTTAAGATTGAAATCCAATAAACTACGAAATAATAAACGATTAGTGTACTCTATGGCAAAATATTTATTGCCCTCCTATTCACCTTGTTCTTTACAACTTTAATGGAAACTTCATCCTCTGACAAATATTTGTGTACCATCATCATAATGTAATAGGAGTAATTGCTAACTGCATTTGAAGCGAGTTTTTAAAACTGTATGATAAGGACCAGTGATGACTCATAGGGGTCCATAACATACATATGAATTTTCTTGATTTGGTTGCAAGGCTTATGAGTGAGCCACACAAGCATTTTCTATTTACTTGGCTCTTTCGAGGGCCTGTTCTGCCTCAAATCTTTCCCTCCATGCCAAGAATATTTCAATGGTCATTGGTTCTCCATGAGGCACAATCATCTGAAATAAAAATAGAGCCACATTCAATTTGAATGGATCTAAATATAGGTGAACTGAATGACAGATGATATTGGCATGCATGTGAGGACATGAAGAAAAACATGTAAAATCACTTGAATAAAAAAAAACCTATTGGAGAAAGAGTTCAAAAGTACATACACTATTATAGTATTTTAGTGCTAATCATTTGCACTAGGTACTTCTATGAGATACTTTGCCCCTCCCAAGTCCCAAATAAGGGGTCATGTTTGGTCAAGGTTTGAAATAAATTCATCATAGTGAATTTCGTTTTTTTGAGGGAAGGGAGTACATGAAACATTAACTCTGTTTAACCATATAATGACAGTTTTTGGGGACATAAAAATCGAATCAGGAACTTGGAGAGGATGTAGGACTATATACAAATAATTACCCCTATATGGCTAAATATAAGTATATCCATAGATAAGAACACTGTTTTCATTCTCCAATTAAGACTCATTCTGTCATACATAAATAGCACTAGAAAATACTCCCTAGGTGACACGCTTATTAAGAAGATGGTTAAAAAGTAAAAGAGGGGGTGTAGGTTTGAGTAGAATCGAGTGAAATGATGAGAACCATTTATTTATTTATTTTCTAAGGAAAGAGTAAGATTATTTGGAAGTTGGGACAGACCAAAAAGGAAAACAGGAAGTCTAATTTGGGAGAAGAGTCACAGAGAGTAGAACTTTTTTACACTAATATGCCCTACCCAATTAATTAAAAACCTACCTCTCTCATGTAAATTTCCGTGCAATTTTAGTATAATACTATCTTTCTCCCCCACCCAGGCCCCACAAAATTCCAGCCATGGTTACCATACTCCGTAACTCATTTACTATCTTTCTCACTCTAACCCCACATCCCACTTATTTAAGGTGACGGCTTCATCCTCTACTAGTGCACAAAACACTTTACAAAGTAATAAATCAACCCATGCAATCAAAAAATTAAAAGAAAACAATTGAGTTACGTAGAACTGTTAATCAACACCCTTCACAATATTTTCTGGTATGGTTCATCTCTTTCTTTGCAAGCTTTCTGCCATGGCTTCCTAACCCCTCTAGTCCTCTAGGCCTCGATGTTTTTCGAGCAAATCGAGATTCAAGATCTAGATCTTCAATGGTTGAGGGAGTTGGTTTTTCCTTGTTTTTACCGCAGTCCGCAGTGATAAGTAAACATAGATGGCCATTGGTCAATCATGTTTTTCTGATTTTTTTTGTCCTTTTTGAAGGCAAAGGGATGGATATTGAAGATGTTAGGGTTGTGCGTCGGTGGCAGGAAGTGAGGTTAGATTGGTCTTGATGGGCAGTGATGACGTTTGTGTTTTTTGAATTGTGATGCTGGATAGTGAGGTTAAAGCCAGGTGGTGATGGGTGTGATGGACAGTGAAGATGGTAGGATTGTGGATTGGTGGAAAGTCAGGTTGGGGTTAGGTATAGGTGCGCTAATTCTCTTTAGTCATATTGAAAATGGAAAGTTTTGATAGTCATATTTATGGGAACGCTAAGCAAAATTCTCATCTAAACAGAACATGCAATTACTAATGACAATCCTATTACGTAGCCTTGACTTGAAGAAACCTTAAAGACAGAAACTCATTTTCCATTTCAATTTCGAAACCTTTAGTTAAGTCCTAAAATTGTAGTACACATGTCGGATACATGCAATCTTGATACATATATTAGATATCTTTATGCCACAGGTTGGACAGTTAAATAATATACCTCATCTTTCGCAACTTCAGCTTCTCCAGCATTTTCATCATTGGCATCCTTGGAAAATAGTTCAGATAACCACTCTTTTGCTGATGTGACCAATGTAAAGATCATTGCCATACAAAGATTCTCAGTTGCCTGTAGAATACAATCACAACAGTTTAAGCTGCATCACAAATTATGGTCCTGCAAAGTGGTAAAATGCAACAGCCAAACATTTCCAATAAATTTAGTTCATTGCACATCTAGATTTTTGTCTGCAGGTTACATGAGCCTTGTTGATGAGGTGAGATGGAAGTTTCCCTCCTCAAAATTTAGTGAACAATCCTATGTCTCAACAGCAAGATATGAGTACAGACGTTCAAGATTAAATATTTCGGCCATGCATCGCACGGGTGCAAATACTAGTAATAATGTAAACAACCCCCAAGTCCCCAACACCCAGTAGCTTCCCACCGATTCGAGGTGTCCAGATTCCAGACGACTCAACGGACCTGAACCTTCAAACGCATTTCAGTCAGGTAGGAACACAAACTACGAATTTAGGTTTTTTCGAAGACATTATCAAAATACTGCATATAATTTATTTACAATATGAATACAAATTACTAAGTATAAATTCATGGACTCATGTTCACTTGAGTGTACAAATTGAACATAAATCACTATAACTAAACTTGCTACTATAATCACATTTTTATCAATAACCTTTATTTAAGTTATAAATATGTAATTATTTCAAATAAAAATAAAAGCAGAATTTCACTTGTTTATTAGTAAATACATCAAGAGATGTTAATCAACGTGTAGAAGTGGAACTCAAATATGCACCCCGGCTTTAACGACTATGGGTATTGGGATCAGCTTTCATCCTCCACTTGTCAAAAACAGGTATATTGTGTAACACAATGTGTTGAGCCCGTTATTCAACAAATTAAATGAATAGCGGTCTGCGAGTTTTCTCTCTAGGGCATCACGCCGCTGGAGCTTTTTTCCCGTTTTCGTCGAGGACGAAGAATGGCAGTGTTTGTTTGTTTGTTTTCGTCAAGGGTTGCGGGGCTTCGTTGATCGACAAGGAGGAAGGAGATCGGTGAGAAGGAGGGTGTGATTGTCGACGAGTAGGTAGTGCCCTAAATCCCTATTACGCAGAGTGGAGTCCTGGATTGCCAGCGATTTAAAAGGCCCCACGGTAGACTAAAAATGACATGAATAGAAGGGTGTAAAAAGACATTATGGTTCCAAGAGCACACTTGGTACATTTCATAGAGTAGGAACTGCAGATATAATAGAGGACATCATAACGTTGAAAGATCATCTCAAGGGTTTATGTACCAAATCCTTTGTTGTTGGTGCTTGTATTCAGAACTTACTTGAATGCAAGCTCTTTTAAGCTTTCATTCCACCCTTCTAGGTGCTGATCCAAATGAGCATGTGTCCTAAAACTTATCCGGAACACATTTGGTGATCCTAATATTAGTTCCAGCATCACAAGCCCAACACACTAACATTGTAGATGCTTACAGATCAGCCACATAGATTAGAGGTGGGAGGAAGTTCATAAAATATCTTGTTCACCTCACTCTTTTTTCCTTTTTCTGTTTGGAAAGGGAAGCGAGAAGATATTATAACTTTGTGTTTCCCAAGAAGTATGTGTAATGTGTATGGAAAACAACTAAGCCACATTCACCAGTAATATGAATGAATTCAAAATATAAAATAACTTGCTAGCTTCTACATTCATAAAAAAATATACAGTAATGCTTATTTGCCGAGTTGCCGATTTCACACTTCCTTGTGGTCCCTAAATTATCTCTTTTCATTGAAAGAATTGCATTTTTGTTTAATTTCTATGAAAAATCTCGACACATTTTCGTTTTCAAGATGTCTATGAAAAGTCATATGTGGAGATACATAGCGAACAGGAGTAACATATACCTGTGACTCTGAGAGGCTATTATATATCTCAACATACTTCATAATATACACACCAGCCACGAAGGATGTTACAGGGAAAGGGAAGATAGACCAATAAACAGTCAGAAAGAAGAAACTCAATAGTAGATGAAGTGAAATTAACATACTTCAGAATTGTACTCGTAATCAGCTTTGTTCCATTGATGGTTAAGGTAAAAATGACTGACAGAGTAATTTCTAATTTAAAAAGGGTGCCTGACAGATGACAGAAGGGCGTCTTATAATCTAATTCAAACCTGAGCAAAAAAGAACTTGGATATTCTTCCAAGCATCTCCCACGATCCTTGTCTTCAAAGCAAATGACCATAAAAGAAGAAGTTCAGGAAACGAAGTTGGAGAATAATAAAATCCTTGTGGCAAGACTAGATTTCAAGTTTCAAATATATCTGGAGGCAGAAGAATTAAAATAACTGGTGCTTTAATTATATAACTGGATATACAACTTATTTTTCTATTTTCTTAAGTTTCTATTCTTTCCCGTTCCTTCCTTCTACTCTCTCCCTTTACCCGTTTCCCCTTTCTTCTTCTTCTTCTTCCCGGTTTCCCTTTTAATCTCCCCCCCCCCCCCAGGAAAACAATTTTTCCCTGAGTGAATTCAGAATACGTAATAACTTGCTAACTCTTATGTTCATAAAAAAATATAATGCTTATTTGCCAAGTTGCCGATTTCAGACTTCCTTTTGGTCCCTAAATTATCTTTTTATATTGAAAGAACTGTGAGGCTCACATTTTTGTTTCATTTCAATGAAAAATCTCGACACATTTTCGTTTTCAAGATTACCATGAAAAGTCATATGTGGAGATAAATAGCGAACAGGAGCAATACTTGATTAGCATCGTCAAGAGTAATGACACGGATTAGCATCAACAATTCTGGATAGTACCGAGTCTACCGACAGCAGTAGTAGGAATAATTAAGTAGTTATAATGACTATGATAATATTAATATTTCAAAGTTTTGATTAGTAAGTGAAGTTTGATCATTATTATTCTGAAGTTTAGTTTAGTAAACTTCAAGAGTTAACATGTTTCACAAGGGGTGGGGTACATTGTCAAAGCAAGATACAGTCAAATCACATTTGTAGGATGCAGTTTTTCTGCTACTTACATTGTGTTCAATCATTTCAGGTATTCACTTCTTTGAGCAAGTCAACAGTTCCTCATCTCTTTATTACAATCATCGAACAGTCGACATTTATTTGTTGAACCATAGCAAATAGGCCGCCGTATACACAAAGGATGCAAATTAACTCAAACCTTTTATGTACACTCGGTCGATCCTCCTACTCAAACATATAAATTGCATTAATTATTAAAATATAATTATACCTATTCCAAATTTCAAAAGTATCAATGATGATCTCTTAAAAAACTTTGTGATGGGTTGACTCACAGGATTCCAACGTAGCAATTGGCGTACTAATCGCGAAGACCATATATTTGGAAACCTCTACAACATGCACACTGGGTCTTCCTTTTAAAAAGGGAATAGAGAAGTTGACCAGAACCTTGTGACATCCACTAGTAGCAGCTAATTGTATTTTGGGCAGAAGAGGAAATTACCCTCTACTCACTCTATTTTCAGAGGATCTCTGTTTCTAATTAGATGCAAAAAGAACTCTTCGGAGCATCTCCATGGAGCCGGTGAAACAGAACCCTAGTAGGTTTCATGATAATGGACCCACTAATGAGTGACGTTATACTTGTAAAGCAAAATAAATGTCTTTTCATAAAAGAATGTAAAACAGGAGTGAAGAAATGCAAGAATGAAAATGTTACTAACCAATAAACAACTCTGTCCATTATTATCATCCGAGTAAACATAGAAAAAAGGAAATGCTGAACTTTATCGCTTACTGGGTTATTTGTAGCCCTAAAGTGGTGAGGCTTGGCAGAGCTCCCAGGGATCAGAATACATATTGTCATGAACGATCTCAGTCTATTAAAAAATAAATGAATGTGTGGTCATCGAAGAGTCATGATTCATGAACCAGAGAGCAACTTCTTTTACTAGTTACAAACAAAGCAATGCCATTATGGCGGCCATTGGTATGACTAATTCTCTGTAACAATCCTTCATGCTAAATGTCAACGTCTGATGCCGAGTACTGATTATTGCTTCTTCACCCTCCATTCTTGAGCAAGTATATGGTTTGGGACAAGAAATATTGGAAGAAGGCACGAACCATTTGACCTCTGCTGGTGTGGCCTTTTCACAACCGGCAAACCCATTAGCGACATAATAAGTTTGCAACCCTAATGGGGGGACCGAAGCTTTCCAGTATACACGATGTCTACAGAGAATAATGTTTCATCCTCCTTGCTGCTGTAGTGTTGTTGCATCTCTGGAGATATCTGGCTTCTCACACATGTCCAATTTGAGTCCAAGATTATCACCTCAGGTCTGTCAACAATTACCATCACAACTTCATGTCTTGTCTGCTCTAGTGGATTAAATATCACCACAGTCTGGACTGTCCCTTCATGAGCAGACATGGCTTTGTGCACTGGCTGAGCATCGTATTTAGATCTCACTTGTGCAGCCTCAAACTGAGTTGGGTTCTGTTCATTCTTTTCATGGCGAATCCCATGAAAATTTGAAGATCTTGCAAAGCTATGTGCATTCTCACCCCATAATCATTAACTACGTGGTCCTTAGCTGTACCAGTAACCCCATCATGACGTTGGAACAGCGCTAGGTTCCTCCTAGCCGCTGCTAACTTATAGGAAAATCCGGTAAGTAACCGCTCACATTGTGGTTTCTGACAATGACCTAATAGGAAAGCCATCATCATATCAGCACCGCGGAGGGTTTGCTCCAACACACGATCAACAGCCTTGAAGAAAGGCCGAGAAACATAATAACCACTCCAGTAATCTGATAGCACAAGGGGTGTAGAATATTTTGATAGGGTATATGTAAGAAGGGGAAGGAGGAACGGGAATAGTCGGGAATAATTAATGAGCGGGTTTTGTTTGCTATATATATGTTAGGGTGGGAAATAAGAGGGACAGGCTGGAATTCAGTAAGTCTTGGCTGGGCTTTGGGCTAGAGAGAGAAACCCACTATCTTTCTCTAGATTGGACTGTTCTTGTTATTTTACGTCTCTTTTATTAATAAAATACTGCAACTATTACCGATTATTAGCGTGACTAACATAATCTTGCTGTCTGTCAGCATATGTGAAGAAATCGCCTGAAAGAGAAGGAAACCCACCAATCTCAATAGAACCAATCTCATTTGGACGGGAGTAATTTACCCTATCAGCCTCTTCACGAAGAGTCCGGAAATAATCTTCCAAGGTACCAAATTTTGCTTCTGCATTCAAGTCCGGATCAGAATTGATATAATCAAGCAGAAGCTGATAATTCCTGAACTGAGCTTCAGCCTCATCAACGGTGACATAGCAGAAATCATCTCCGAGGGGAATAAGAAGAGTATTTGTGCGATATAGTGTTGATTTCTTTCTGTATTGATCCAGCAGCTTTAGTGCTCTTTCTTTAACATTTTCTGGTGTGGTCTCCTGTGGATATTCTCCCCAAGGGCAGCGCTCATACGTAAAGCCATAGGTTCTAGCAAAGTCAAATTGAAAGCATATTGCAGGCTCAGGCCCACAAGTATGTGGAATATCATATGAATAAAAGGGCATCATATGAGCAAACATGTCAGTTGTTTCTTCAGCATCCCAGCTCTGCCGCCATACGAATTCTAAATTTCTATACAAAGCCAGTTCCTTCTTCAATTCATAATGTGTCCTCTGTATGAGCATATTCTCGAAACCCATACGACGAAAAAGGTATGCCATTGTTGGAGAGTATCCGAAAAGATCAATCAACCACGAATTTTTTGGAACAACACCGCAAGTTTCATTAAGCCATAAATTACCCTCTGTTATCTGGTAATAGATTCAGAAAACAAGATCCTTAGCACAGCTTATAGGGACAGCATGTGATATGCATGCTTAAGTACATATATAGTTATTAAGAAATCCCAGCTATTTCGCTGGGTTTACAAATTATTAAATATGAATAAAAAGTTAAAAAGAACGATTTACTTAAAGCATATTATGGAAACTAGAATGAGATGACATCCATTATGCAACAACGTCACAATTTTCAACTCAGTAAATGAGAACCGCAACATTTTGGGCCCCATATAAATCTCTATCTAATTCTCCAGTTGGCATCATCTGTTCAGCTTATTACTTCAGTTTTCAATTAGAAACTCAAAGCAAAGAAAGTTGGGTGGTATCAATAAAGCAGCCCTATTATGTGTAATCAAAATATGCACTTATGAACTAGACAATAACTAATGCCAAAAAGGTAACGCGTAACCACAAAATAAATAATTATATATCGAGCCAGCAGCTTTAAAAAAAGCAGGAATAAGAAGAATGTGAGTAAAAACAAGAGAATTATACACTTTACCTGTTCTATGATTGCAAAGTAGTGTGAATTAGCCTGTAAAAAAAAAGAGAATAAAATAAGCTGCAGGTGCACAAGCAAGAGAAATTCACAGATGAATGAAAGACAATTGCAAGGAAAATGATTCCTTGACGAGAAAACCAAATATGAAGAGCAAAATGCAAATAAAGTTCTAAAGATCCAAGGGTCCCAGTAAAATTGACATAACGTGTCCAAAAGATTATTATTTTAGTCTAGCTTTCCGAACGCGCGCCAGCACAAGAACCAAATATGATTACAGTTTTACATGTAAAACCAGCTAATCAACTGTTACCAGACAAATAAACCCATTTTTTCAAGAAGCTGGAAGCCTAGAACTCATTCATTATGGTAAATTTTACTAAGAAAAATGTCAAATCGCCACTGTGATCCGTTAAAAACATGGCTTTCTGTTCACCATTCCCAGATCCCAATTGGAAAAAATATGAAACACTTGAAGAGAAAAATTATTACTTGCATACCATTGCAAAAGTGTCATTACGTTAACAGCACAGGCTTACCTCATCATTCATCACCCAACCACGTCCTACGATTTCTAGTTCTCCATTCTGTACTAAATTGATGAAGGATTCTTTCTTTGCAGCTGATGCATCCCTCCACCATCTCTCCAAATAAGACATTTCCTCCCATATAAACTTGCGGCTCCTATACACCAATACCCAGAACGATTAGCGGAAGAAATCACATTAAACATTATGAAATGGAACATAACAAAATGTCCCCAAAATTAACTTAGAAAAGAGAATCAGAATTCCATGGGCAATTTTTGATCAGTAACGAAACACTTGTAGTTGCAACATGAAGCACTAATGAGAACATCGAAGTGAAATTGATATTCAGGTCACTAGGTCAGTTTCCTTTATTCACCATATTTGCATCTGAGTCGTTGATTAAACATTTGTATTGTGAGGACGCAACCTGTGTAAATCCAACCTGGATCATTATGCGAATGTGGAGTCCTGGATTGCCAGCGATTTAAAAGGCCCCACGGTAGACTAAAAATGACATGAATAGAAGGGTGTAAAAAGACATTATGGTTCCAAGAGCACACTTGGTAGGAACTGAAGATATTAATAGAGGACATCATAACGTTGAAAGATCATCTCAAGGGTTTATGTACCAAATCCTTTGTTGTTGGTGCTTTGATTCAGAACTTACTTGAATGCAAGCTCCTTTAAGCTTTCATTCCACCCTTCTAGGTGCTGATCCAAAAGAGCATGTGTCCTAAAACATACCTGGAACACATTTGGTGATCATAATATTAGTTCCAGCATCACAACCCCAACACTCCAACATGGTAGATGCTTACAGATCAGCCACATAGATTAGTAGTGGGAGGAAGTTCATAAAATATCTTGTTCATCTCACTCTTTTTTCCTTTTCCTGTTTGGAAAGGGAAGCGAGAAGATATCATAACTATGTGTTTCCTTTCACACTTTCTTTGTGGTCCCTAAACTGTCTGTTTTTATTGAAAGAACTGTGAGGGGAGGCTCACCCTCACATTTTTTTTTATTTGTATCAAAAATCTCGACACGTATTCGTTTTCAAGATGACCACGAAAAGTCGTATGTTACAGGGAAAGGGAAGATAGACCAATAAACAACAGCCAGAAGATATCATAACTCTGTGTTTCCCTAGTAGTATGTGCAACGTGTGAGGAAAACAACTGAGCCGAGTTGCCTTTCACATTTCTTTTTGGTCCCTAAATTGTCTGTTTACATTGACAGAATTGTGAGGGGAGTCACATCTTCGTTTTATTTGTATGAATAACTTAACATATGAGGCTATTATATATCTCGACACATTCCTTATAAATAACTTGATACCTATGAGGCTATTATATATCTCAACATACTCCATAATTCATACAAACTCCAGGGAGATTAACATACTTCATAAAGAACTCCATACCCAGCGGGACTTGGTCAGTCCCAAAGGGTGAGTATATCTGCAACTGTACCTTATTATTTATAGACCCAGTCAGGAGTCGCCCAGCCTTCCGTCGTCGGTGTGGGAACTGATTCTAATTAGTGAATGCTTACTTTCTCCATTTCTCTGGCCTGGCTTCCTTCACCAACAGCTCAGCTCAGCTCTTTCACCAAGCCCGACGCCGCTAACAAAATCCGCCGGATTTCCTATTGCGTTTGTCGATCGGAGGGAGGGACGTTCAGCTCCTCTTTCATGAACTCGTATCTGTCGATCGGAGGGAGGGCTGTTCATACTGAACTGAGGAGGCGGTACCCGCACCAGTAATGGGCTGTTCACATTTTTAATTTTTGTCTATTAAAACTCTAATAAATACTACCTATCATATAATTCCTTCATTTTTATAAATTTTCACTTGTGTCTAGCATGAGATGAAGTTTAAATATATCCATTTCTTTTGAAATATTTTAGAAATGTGATGGGGAATATTTAAATTTCGTTTAGTATCCGAGTTTTTGGTTTTATCGGATATTTTTTTAATCAAACACATAATTTCATTTCAGACGTTGGAATGAGTAATAATTTTTCTCGCTCTATTAATAAAATATAGTTAGAATATAATACTTCCATACTTCAACTAATTGATAATTCCATACTTCCATACTTCCATTTAGAATTTCATAAACTTTAACTAATTGAGCCAATTTCAGTGTTATCGAACTGGCCATGAAACTCATAGAGTTTGTTATTTTTGTATAGTATGACTTGTTTGAGTTTAGAACCTCTGGTTTCATGACATATTCATGTTTTAGATTTCAACCATTCTTGTGGTACACATAATTTGCACACATTTGACAAACTCTTCTATCTACACGGATAATTGTTGCATTTTTATAAACGAGTTGCCTGCCCACAGGTAATTAGTGGATGTACACATTTTGTGTATATTTTACACTCGTCCGCGTATACAGAGAATTGTTGTTTGTTTCTAATTAACGAGATGTCTGTATATACAGAAAAGTGTGCTTAAATTATGTGTACAAAAAGTAATTTTCTTGACATTTTGAGTACATCATTATTATTTTATTTTCTTATGCATATCATTATCCTCTATTATTTAGAGCGAAGCTGGTATGATTTGATTTGTTTTAAGTCTAGTCATGTCCAATCAATTTAAGTTAAGTCTACTCATATTTTATGTGATTTTAATCTGAAATATCCAAGTATGTGGGATATAACATAACCCACTTAGAAAAAATGTGAAGTCATAAAAATATAAAGTGTTGTTTGCACTTTATCACCACAAATTAAAAGCTCAATCCAAATAGAATCACTTCTTTCATGAGGTGGCAACATGCAAAAAATTTGGATGTTACAAGAAATACTAACTCTTTCCGAAAATTATCACTGAGTCGTAGAGATTCTTCTGTTCAGGAAAGAAAAAGTTTTATGCAATTGAAACCAAAAATGAATTTAGGAGGCTAATTTAGAAGTTTTACATGGGTTGATGTTTGAGATTATATTATTGAATTATTTTAAAGATAACATAACACGATGATTAAGATAGAGTACTTCATAGAGTTATTTATTAGTGGACTGATCTGGTATAGAGTGGGTTTGTTTTGGCCGACGTTATAGTCACCGCACTAAACTATTGCAATAAAAGGCGAACTTGTCGTGAGTAAATCAAAGGCAATTGAAACTTTTCATGCAATTGAAACCAAAAATGAATTTAGGAGGCCAATTTAGAAGTTTTACATGGGTTGATGCTTGTGATTATTGAATTATTTTAAAGATAACATAACACGATGATTAAGATAGAGTTCATAGAGCTATTTATTAGGGGACTAATCTGGTATAAAGTGGGTTAGTTTTGACTGACGTTATAGTCACCGCACTAAAATATTGCAATAAATCATATAGAGTATAAACAAGGCCCCTTTGCAGCTCTCGTCTCTCTCTAGGGTTGCCTCACGCAACGCCTAGCTCTTTCTCCAACGGCGACCTCCTCAGGTCGTGGGTTCCAGCGGCTTCGGCCGGCTGCTTTTCTTCGGTTGGCATACAATCTCTTCAAAAACCTTCCCAAGTCTTGGAAGTTTTGGCCGGCGCGGGGCTGCATTTTCGAACAGTTTTGCGTTGCTTTGCAATTTAGCCGGATTTTGTCTTCCAAACGTTCGGATTCCGGACAGGATTGTTGGTGTGCAGTGGGCATATCCGATTGGTTCTCTTTTTTTTTTGGGGGGGGGGGGGAATGAGTTTGGGTGGCAAGGGCATCGCAACGATGAAGATGACCGTTGGCGGTGGATTTGCTAAGAGAGCGGGACGAGGAGAATTGTGCGGCTTTCGATGGCTGTGTCAAGCCCGCTACATGGTTAGCGATTCGCGTTGCTCTTTCAGGGGTGACCGTCTCTAAGTCTGATCATTGAATTTACAGTCGTAGTTTTTGGAATTTAGTTGGTGTCGGTTTGTTTTTCCTTTGACTGATGTAATGATCCGGAAATTTATGATATGAAAGAAGGCTAGTTGACGATAAAAAACTATTGCAATAAATCAGCGCACAAGGCGAACTTGTCGTGAGTAAATCAAAGGCAATGTATGTTGTCACAACTTGCTTTTTAAAATTTCCATTTTCCTTCTTTTTATTATCCAACAACTTTGAGTAGTAATATGAGTGACAAAGACGTTGGCACAAGGTGTGTGCAAAAACATAAAAAAAAAACACTTTTCAACTTTTG